GAGAGAGAGAGAGTGTGTGTGTGTGTGTGAATGTGTGTGTGTGTGTGTGTATGAATCGCGAAACGACACACGGAATAAAGAAAAAAAAAAAAAAAGAAAAAGAAAGGGGGTGAAAAAGGAGAGGATAAAAACAAGGATATCTCTAAATCGATGGATTCTATTTATGTAACACTTGTTCGCGGTGCGTGGTACACTTCGTCTCGAATCCGACGATCCATGGACGGTGGAAACGAGCGGCGAAGAAAGAGAAAGAGAGAAGGAGTTTAAGTTAATAAAATGCACACCTTAAACTGTTTAAACAGGAAGAGAAAAATGGAGAAGAAGAATAACAATAATAATAATAATAATAATAATAATGAAAGAATAATTTCGACGAGCATGCACACCCCTCCGAAACGAACGAACGAGAAGATATATATCGGGGGCGGTGGAAATATGGGGGTGGGGGCCTGGGCGTACATTGGAAGTATTCGAGAGAGAGAGAGAGAGAGAGAGAGAGAGAGACGTAGGCGAATGAACATATTATAATATAATATATAAATATATAAATATATATATATATATATTATATATATATATATTAAAAAGCAGAAATAATAATAATAACGATAAACAAAGAAGGGAATAAAAGGAAAAAAAAAAAAGAAAACCAACAACCAAGTAGAGACTAAGAGAATCTATTTCGGGTCCGTGTGTGTATACGCGTTTTTTTATATATTGCAACACGACGCAAAGTCGCGCGCGTGAGTTTTAAATCGATAGAAACAAAGAAAAGAAGAAGAAAAAAAGAAGGAAGGGGGAAAAGGAAGAGCGAAGGGGGGTGAAGGGGGGCAGGAAGAGAGGCGGTTGGATATGGAAAACGAGCGTAGCCGTGAAAAAAAAGAAGGAAAAAAGTTAGTCCTTGGACTCCTTGTAGGATAGAATGGGGGAGGGGAGGGGAGGGGGGAGGGAGTTGGAATTGTTTTTTCCTGGACGTTGTTGAATGTTGCGCACGAATGCGTGTGTGTATGTGTGTGTGTTAAGCGAGATATATATATATATATATATTATATTATTGCATGGCACGCGTCAAGATGAACAGGCTGAAGAGAAGAGGGAGGGGGGGAGGGGAGAACAGGCAGCTGGTCTTTTTTTTTTTTTGCTCTTTACTCGATTCGCTTCATTTCGAAGATATAATATATATATATATATATATTTTTTTTCTTAATTTCTAATCCTCCTCGATTGATAATCTTATAAATTACGTACGCGAGACGTAAACAAATTTTTTCGTGAAAACATATCCATCCGATTTTAACGTTCGATCAACCACGACAAAGAAAGAAAGACGAGGGAAAAATTATACGTTGGAAGAAATTATCTTAAAAAAGAGTAAATAATATTTATAAATAAACATAACACATGGAATGAGCGAATGGCGAGTAAATCGAAGGAGGGCGGAAACCACGTGGGGAGTAGGAGGGAGAGGGGGGGTTAGTTAGTCCGAGGACCCGTGGCCGCGTTTCGAAACCGTTCGAAACGAAGCTGAATACCATCTGCTACCAGTTTTGAGCGTTTTCAGCGCGACGAGAGATTCAACTCAACGACCATCGACGGCAGGAAGGGGAGGAAAGTCGAAAGAGAGAGACAGAGAGAGATTCGGGCGGAGGGGGGTGGGGAAGTGAGAAGAGAGAAACGGGCGAACGGTTCGTACGACAATAAGGTATCGATTAGTTAATCAGAGATGAAATAATGTAAAATACAAGTGCAAAAGCAAGTATACATTATTATATTTACTATAATACGAGGGGTTCATCGTGTCGGTTATCTCTCCGAGTTAGAGAGAGACAGAGGAGAGAGGAGGGGGGAGGAGCAAGGATTGGTCTCGACCACTGGTTGGAATCTTGACGGAACGAGCGTATTCTCTCTTTATTATTAGTCTTGAGAGAGAGAGAGAGAGAGAAAAGAGAAGTGAATATAAAGGGGAGAGGGGATTTCACACGAGGGACGAGGCTCCTTTCTTTTTTTAAAGAGTTATCCTTAAACGCGAAAATGCGCTGTGAAACGTCGCGGAACTTTTTTTTTTTTCTTCCTGAAGCGGAAATCAGAAAAGCGAGGACGCGATCGATATATATATATATATATGGGATAGAAAAATAGAGGAAGAGAGAAGCGAGGAGGTGGTTGGAACGAGCAAAGTAGAATGGATCTCTCGATCCCTCGCTTTAGCGGCGTCGTTTCCTTTTTTTTTATTTTTTTTTTTCCCCCTCGAAAGAGGACGATGACACGGCTGGATCGCGCGATGATCGATCTCGATCGCCGCGTGCACATACCAAAGGATCGTAGATTTTACGCGAGTAAAGGTGAATAAGAAAAAAAAAATAATAAAAATAAAAACAAAAATAAAAATAAAAATAAAAATACATTATTTATTGTTTACACTTACGTATTCATTAGCGAGTGACACACAAATGACACACGTACACACGAATACACGAATACAGGGTGAATGGCGAGAGAGAGAGAGAGAGAGAGAGAGTAGAAGATAGAGCGGAGGAGTGGTCAC